AGAACGCAGAGGGGAAAAAGAACACACATCATACAGCCCTCTGCCTGCTCCTCTCTTAGGTGCCTAGAAGTTGACTAATCGAAGAGATTAGTTTGATTAATAGTAGGCATACGTTTCCTGTATGCAAGTTCTGTAGGAATGCTCTATTTACAAGGATGCTACCTCTTCCAATGGGTACACTAGGAAAACTCCTAGAAGAATTTGAAACCTCTGTAACAGAAGACATTTAAGAATTATCTGAAGTAACAGGTACAAAGCTCAACATGGTTTTATAATTTTTGGTCATCATTTAATTAAATTACTTTGCTCTAGATAACTGCACTGTAAGACCTAGTGAAAATCTTACGAGTTATTATGAGCAAACAGAATCAGCACTAGTCTATTACACATTTGGAAAGCTTTTAATTAAAACTAAAGAGAAGCACAAGCATCTTGTGTTTAAAAATGGCCTGAGTGTTCCTAACTTTACCAAGCATGGAGTAAGGAATGTTTATACAAGCCGGGGCAAGCACCCCTTCCACAGTCCTCAAGCACTAGGGTCACAGAGTTGACTAGATCAATCTATGCCCGTGACAGGGGCGCAGTAGGCCCCTGCCCTTCCCCCCATCACCCCAGCCCCACATAATGGGAAGTAAGGTAGGGAGGAAAAGAACAGCAGCAACAATCTATGGAGGAAAACTTATTTTACTATGGTATCGGAATACAAGATAACACAATATAATACAATTTAATTGAAATTAAGACTAATAAATCAGACAAGATGGGAGAGAGAGTTCCCGGAACTGAGCCAAACCTGAAAAGCTGGGAACGGTTAGGAAAGCACCCTCCAGCACCCACTGCCAGGCAGTAAGAGACCTCTCCCCACCCAGAAGCGCCAGATCCCATGACTTCTGTAATGTACAGGGATAGCTACCTGGAAATGGGGCATTAACACTTTAATGCCCAGTACACTACATGATGTTTTGATGTGGAATACTGAAACCCGAAAAAAACAAAAAATATAAAGCCATCACAACTAGGTAAGATTTGATATTTTATGATTCGCTTCCTTACTTGAGAAGTGAAAATGTCATTACGGCACCTGAAGTCTCCTTATACTTAGAAACATTGTATATGTGACACTGTTAGATTACAGGATTTATCACTATCTCATCAGGTTGACCTACTTCAGAGATGAGCAACTGTTTTCAAAGCTGAATTATTAAGTTAAAAACCCACACGTTTTCACCACTAACTGGCTAATGTTGCTCATATGCAAAACACCAGATACCATGGCATGTTACTGTTCACAATAAGGTTCGCTTATTTTGCAAATTAAGTCTCTTAAAATTTTACAGGACCTCCAAGTTCAGCTGCTCATCAACTCTCCTACTCATTACAGAGACAGAAAAAGCATTACTTTAAAAAGAAGCACTCAGCCGTACGAACTTTACAATTAAATTGATTCAAAACATGTGCAACATGACAGTTTTATCCATCTTTTCCACATTTCAACTGGCAGTAAACACTTAACACTGTTCTATAAATCCTCTTGGCAGTAGGGCAGGACAAGAGTCAACTCTTACTACGGTGAGACTACCCACAAACAAACGATCTGCTGCCATATAAAACACACAGGACATTCACTTTCCAGCAATCTTTTAATAGTTAACAAGATACTGTGTTATTATAGGAGATTTCTGTATAACAAGCTTAAAAAACACTTTTAATCGGATCTTCTGGAAAATGTACTGATAAAGTCACTGTCCCCTACTCCTAAACTAAAATAGGCAAACCGAATTTAATAATAAAGTTAAGGCTGATGTAACTGCAACTTTTCAGCTTACAGAGAAAAGCGTGGACCATCTCAGCCTCTCTAAAAGCAAGTTGTAAAATTTTAAATGATGTAACCAACCCAAACTGTGGGAGGATATGCTGACCTCCGTAAGTGCTACCTGGAACGGCTAGCTCAGAGAAGCTAGCGTAGATGCCTCATCCCTGGAGCTCAAGGCCAGCTTGTACAGGGTCTGGGCAACCCAGTTTAGTGGATATTTCCCAGACTCACGGTTCCTTTGGAGAAGCTACGAGGCTACAAAAAATTATGCTTTGTCTACTGACTTAATGGCGTGTACTGTCCCAAATATCTTCTAAACTTTACTTCACTCTGCAGTCAATGCTGAACTGTACAATGCTTCAAACTTTGAAGAAAAGTTAAAATTCACAATGCAAAAAAAAAACAACAAAAAAACAGAAGGCTTTGGATATGACACACCTACCTGAAGCGCCTGTTTTATCTTCGCTCTCAATTGATGCAGTTTTACTTTTCACAAGATCTTCAAGCTCATCGTAATGTACAATACAAAGCCTTCTGTCAATCTGGTATAGCAGAGCAGGACACATATATATAAATAATTCAGGAGATATTTGAGAGCTGGTTTCCAGACCGTAGCGTCGTAGCAGCTGAGTAACATTTAAGCACTGCAAGCAAACGGTACAAACAAATTAAATACAAAAGCAACCATTTCACTAAAAAAAATAAATAATAATACAACCCTACAGTTGTGGAAAACATAGCACATGATTTCAAAAACACACACAGGAATGAAAAACTCTGGTCCAAAATGTTCCATCAGTGCTCAATCAGCCTCAGCTGATTTAAGCTGTTTTGAAGAGGAACAAACTGTCGGATTATACAACTCAGTCCCCAAATGTATATGTAATTTTTGATAAATGTCAGTGAAAGCAAATTTTCCTTCTAACAGTTACACAGTACAAGCAGTAAAGAAAGAGCAAGAAGAAAGGAACAGAACATAAATCAATCCAAGCCAGGTTTCCTAATACTTCGCTTTCAGCCATTAATGCTCTTGTGTTTAGAGTTTCCCTTTGCAATTAACGTTAAAAACTAACTCGTCACTCACTCCATCCCTTTTTATACTGCTATACTTAAAACCACGTAGTCAAACCGTCCTGCTGTAAACTGTGAGGGGATAGGGACAGTGAATTTATGGACCTGGACAAAATAGCGGATGCCGAAAAGAGTAATGGGAGAAAGAGCTTACACCATGTGCGGTACAACAGAAATTGCATCTATATTGCTTCACAATCTTTCAGAACAAAGAAACAAGCACGTTGGAAAATACGCATTCTTATCTTGGGAAAAAGTCTCTGTGCAGCTTCCAAAAATGTAAATAGTCTCCGATTCAGAAAGTCCAAAAAGCACAATAACAAAAAAAAAAAAAAAGATGTACTCCTGAATATTGGAGGAAAAAAACAAACAATAACAACAACCACCACTTGCGAACAAGGTACATTAGAATGCTTTAAGTATGTCCTCACCCTTTAAACAGAGACAAGTAGGCAATATAACCTGAAAAAGATGGGTGACGGGAAGGCAGAACAGTTCATTCTGCTTCATTTGTGGGTAAGCATCTTCAAGTCTTACTTAATAACAGCAAAAGCGGACCTACCAGTTCTCCATTTCATACTCACCTCTTCACAATCGCGTTCGTCTTCATTACGATCCTTATGACCACGTGCTGAAATAGTGTGTTTTCGTACACCTGTGTGCTTACAAGGTGCCTCTCGCTTGCTGGTATGGTGATGCCCATCCTCACTACCCAGGCTGGAATCCTGATGTCCGTGATTAGTGGAAAGATCGCCACTGTGTTCACGATGGTGCGCATGAAAGTGAGACGCATCGTGTACATGATCGTGTTTATGAACACGATTGTGCTCACACTGATCACCTAGGTGATGGTTTGGAGGACAGTCTTGAGTATTATCTCCTGAAGTCTCACTAATTTTCTTTCGTTTCTTCTTCTGTTTCCGCTGTTTTCTTTCACGCTGATCCTGGGTGGTGTTGGTTTCTGTGGAAGGCCCGTGATTCTGCTCTCCGTGATCACTGTGAGTAACTGAATCATTACGAGAATGATGCGTACCGTTATGGTCGAGATGATGATGCGGATGAGGGTGGTGATGATGGTGATGGTGACTCTGGTCGTGAATACGTTTACCATCACCTTTTATAGATGACACTACTGCATCTCTCTCAGAGTTACATTTATGATTTTTCTTTTCAGCCATACCAACCACGGTTTGGTTTTCTGAATCGGAGTGGCTATGAGGATGGTTATGAGTGTGCAAATGCTTTCCTTCCTGTACTTCTAAAGCATATAGGTGAGAAACATGATCGTGGCCAATATCATCATGATTTATCACTACTACTTTTACTTCTCCTAAACCAAGGCTCGTTAACAGTTTCTCCAGGCCAAAAAAGGATAATCTTCCATTTTCGCCGTAACGATCAAAGATTTTTTCAATGTAGTATTTCTGTTCCTTTTCAGCTTCCGATGTTGAAAATTTACTCGGCATGGATTCCGATCCCGCAGTCTGGTGGTAGGGTGTCTCTGAGATCTGATAGCAGTTATGGTGGTCTTCGTGTCCCTCTTCAGGACCACGGTCACGTCCATCTTTATGGCAATGATTGCACTGATGAAAGATAAATGTCAGCAAACAAACGATGCAAAATTTTGTGTGCATGTGTACCTTCATCTCTGTTTCCTACAAGAAACACAAAAGGAGGCAGTTAGGTGTAAAAACAGTCTCAGGATTATAATCATCCCAGTACTTATTTGCACCAACAGAATGACTCAAATCTTTTTAGATATTAGTTAGCATTAACAGAATAACAATTTTTGACTTCAGATACTGTATTAATACACTCCTTATTCAACAGTGAGAAGACAAGCTCTGTGCATTTCAGATCCGTAGTCTCATATGCCACGCTTACAGGAGGCAGTTATAAGCTGCAAGTACAAGTTCAGCGTTTACAGTCAGTCAGAACAGAACTTTCCTGCTTCTGTTTTCAGGAGCATCTGTGCCTGTGGTAACTGGTAATACCGAGAAATCTCAGTAAGGCACAAGTTAAAGAATAAAAACACTCAAAATAACACCGCAGTCTGTATTTTCTTATTTATGGCGATGATGGGAAGATAATAGAGTTGAACACTGTATGGGAACTGCTGAGTCACGGCCTGAACTCCTGATTGATCACCTGAGGAGAGCCATGAGTCAGCCAGAGGAGCACAGGTGAAGGCAATTCACCTGTGCTGCCGGAAGGGGGTGGAGCCAGGCTCCACCCCTCCTAGACCTATTTAAGAGCTGGCTACCAGCGGGGAAGGATCTCCTCCGGAGATCACCTCTCTTGGTGTTTTCTGGTGAGCTCAGCTGAAGGGTAAGCTCTTCCACTTATTCTCTTTTGTGATCGTTGTCTACTTTGCCTAATTCTCTTGATTATATTGCGATTATAACATCTTGATATCTGTTGATTATACAATTATATTGCGATTATAACATCTTGATTATACAAACACTCAAGTATCGTTTGCTCTTTCACGTGCAGCTGAATTGCTTCCAATAAACACACACTGCACAACTCCTAACTTACATCAGTGAACAGTGATTTCAAAACAAGTTCTCATTAACCAATGTCATAGTATTCCTAATGGATTTTGTTCTCTTTTTAGTATGTTTTACTTAGATAAGTTAACCGATCTCAAATATCTATGTGGACGTTTGTTTAAAAATCAGGTTCTATTTCATATAAAAGTATGTCCCTCCACACAACTTGAAAAATACCATTATGCGGACACACACACAGTTTGCACTGTTCTTCAGAAATTACAACATCAAAGCAATGTCATCTGCTACCTTGTATCAAATGTAAGAAACAATGTTCAACATCAGGTAATAATGAAGACCCAATATAAGATTTAATGTGTATTCAGATTTGGAAACAATTAATTACCTTCACAAAATATTTTCTAAAATCTGCTAACAAAAAAAACCCACAACCAAATATTTGAATAATTATTACAAAAGAAACTTTAAGAAAAAGACACACATTTGGCAATGACATTTGGCAATGATATTAAAAGCTGAAGAACAAACCAAGAACTACATCTTGTGATGTCTAAGTTCTAGAGACTTATTCTGTGCAGAGAATATTCTCTAATAGAGATGTTAAAGCCATCATTCAAGCACTATCAAAGCTTTCTAATAACACTTAATTGTACCCCGTGGTACAAGACAAAGTAAATTGTGTACTATTTACAGCATTTCTTCTAGATGCATGTAACAGGCACGGACTGCAGCACAGGAATTTCCATAAGAATGTAAGGAAGAACATCTTTATTGTGAGGGTGACAGAGTGCTGGAGCAGGCTGCGGGAAAGGTGGTGGAGTCTTCTTTGGAGATCATCAAAACCTGCCTGCATGCTTTCCTGTGTGAGCTGCTGTGTGGGGCTGGCCTGGACGATGTCCAGAGGTCCCTTTTGACCCCTACAATTCTGTGACACCCTCCCATCAAGAAAGGAACATACAAAAAGAAGAAAGAAGCATGGAGCTTGCAAGTTATTTAAACATTTTGCTGACTAAAAAGTAAAAATAAATATAATAAGCACAGAAGTAGGCTTTTTACACACAACTACTTATATATTCAAGATGATTGAGGAAGAAATGAGAGCTGACAAAGGATAAGAACAGGAATCCATCCACCCTGTTTTTTATACATCCATATACTGTCAAGACACCCTAGCAAAGTATTAGGCAAATACATCAGGTATACTTGGAGCCTGTTTTACACCAAAAGCAATTTTTGCTCCCTGTGTGCACCTCAACTAGAGCTGATCAAACTCTCCTAGAATGAGATGGAGTTTCATACAACAAATGGTGTATGCGCTTGTTCTTCTCTAGCCCTGATGCTGTGTTCTGCGAAAGTGAAACGCAGAAAACTGCTTTACAACAAACCACACCATTTCCTATCCATTTTAATTTCTTAAAATATTAGCTTGATGCTTTGCATTTAAGCACTTGGAATCACATTACTGTACAGGCACACATATCATACAAGAATCTGTAACTGCAACAGGTTGAGAGATAACAGAACTGAAAATAGGAAAGGGTTTCCTTTTTGTACCTTTATAAAGCAAATTAATGAGTTAAAACACTAAATTAGAGAAAAGGTTTTCTTCCATAAACTTCTATAAATATAGAAGATGAAAATTCACCTTCTGGAAACTTAAATGCTTTAAAAAAAAAAAAAAAAGAAAAAAATAAAGAGAGCAGAATCTTCTTTTAAGCTGGTAAGAGATGTAAGACCAGCAGGGTATATGTCAACTGGAACAATCTGTATCAAAAAAGATCCCAGGAACATCAGAAAGATACACAGGTAATCATTTACATTACACCTACATAACCAGCTCTTCTATTAGGAGTTTGTAATCACTGCAGTCTGAGTTCAGGGCTCTGACAAACATTTTCAGAACTTTAGTAGGATGAGCACACCCCCAAAATTTATTGAGAAGACTTCTGTGCAGTCTTTTCTTTCACTCACAGAAACAATTTAACAGTGGGATTAAACAAGAAACATTAGAAGCATCCCAAAATGCCTTCCAGAAGCCCTTCCACTCTCCTCTGAGAAAATGGTTAAGCACATAAGTTGCTGCTGATGGAGCGGAAAGAAACAGGTTACAAACCTCCATCCAAGAATCATTGGACTGAGCCAACCCTCAGACCGCACAACTATCTGGAAACTCATTCCAAAGCCGTCAGATAAAGACCTGTACTCTTTTCCATGCAGGCTGGAAGACCTGGGCTCTATGATTTGTGTCATCCCTGTAAGCAGAATACTTGGCAGTACGTAAAGGCACTGGATCGGGCACCTGGCTGATTACAGATCAGCAGAGCTCCGCATTTCTATAAGAATACATTGATTTTCATTAAATGAGGATTTACAATGTGGAACGTTACTCAATGTAAAGAGCGGGTTCAAGGGCTGAAGTAAGCAGTACAGATGTACTCAAGATAGATGAAAGCCCTGAGAGAAAGACGTGTATACATGCTTGTCTGCATGCCGCAGGAGTATGTAAGCGCATACAGCGTACTGTAACTCTTTAGTTGTTTATTCTTTCTTTAACTGTTCTGTTTCTCAGTACCAAAACCACCATCTTAGCTGTAAGCAAATTCAGTTAATGAATGCACGCTACGTTTGAAGGTAAGATACCTTGTCTTCCCCTTTGCCACGTAACGGTAATATAACTAGAATAGGCAAAGCAAAACTATTCCCATTTAAACCAGCACAATTCAGACTAAAATGTGTCCATCAGGAAATTCATGACTAAAGCACGATAAGCATGATCATAATCCTGTTCACAACCTCATGATCTTTTTCATGTGACTGTCTCACACAATACTACTAACACATTACTTTGAAATTTCAGTCATGCATGTATAATTGTGGTATTTAGCTTTCAATGGTACCTTTTCTCCACGTCCCAATGGTTAAAAGTTTGTCGTCTATGATCACGATTCACTGCTCAAACTCAAGAGATGAGCGTATCACTTATTTCACAATCAATTTAGTTTTATTGAAAGTAGACATCTAATAATGACCTTGGCACAATATTTTTAATTCTAAGACAGTCTTTTTTATCTTCTATTTCAATTCTTGCCTTACAGAAGATGCTTACAAAATAAACATCTGTATCCTAAAAAGTCTCTAATAGAAGAACTTATAAGAGTAGGTTATTTGTTTTGTTTTTACACAAGCGTCATTAGTTGCTAGACAATTATGAACAGCTCCCACCCTGCAGTATGTCCATCAGTATTCGTACGCATATAACATCAGAAATCACAAGTCCACATCTGATACACTTCAGTGACACAGAACTGTACATGGCTCACTTCAGCATAAGCACATTATGAGCCTTGAATCCTTTCAAAAGACCACAGAAAGGCAGCCTGAGGACGAGGCTACGTACGTGGAAAAGATTTCAGCTATTATAGTTGCCAACCTTGGCCTTACTTTATGCACTTGTGATTCCTGCTGCCCATCCTTCTTTCCTCAACAGCATAGGCATGGCTGGGCACCCAGCGGGGACAGAAACACGAGCAAACATCCTGAGCTGTGGCCTGGGTCAGAAACCACAGCAGCCAAAACTGGCAGGCCAGAGCAGGAGCTAATGGTACCTGCTGCCAACAAGAACGAGGCTGGTCTTTTGGGATGCGTTCAGGCAGTGGGACAAACCCACCTGAAGTCATGCTGCAAAGTTAGAACAGCCGTGCACATGTACACCGGGCAAAATAAACGGCCCTGCTGTGCCTGCTGACATTTAAGGAAATGCAAACAGGGCTGCCAAATGCACCCCAATGCCCCCTCATTCAGTGCTAGCAAATCATTCCAACCCAATGCAGTTCTGACTGCATACCCATAAACACAGCTTTAAAATGGGAAGCCAAAGAATCTGAGCACAACATCAGCATCATTTACCTGCTCTGTATGGAAAACTCACACCATCTCTTATGCCACCCCATTCCTTCTGGCATTTCCTCTATTGGAATAAATGCACCTCTAATCAAAGTGGGTATTATTAGAGACTTTCTCACTTGTCTTCCTTTGAATTCCTGAAATGTTTCACAGTCCCTACCATTTCAACTGCTCTTCCATTTAATACCTGTAGCATGAAAGGTATGTGGAAAGAAAGTATATGTAAGTATATTAAAGTCCAGAATAGGAAGATTATTTGGAGGGACATTTTTGTTTATCATCAACTGCTTCACTGAAAGTAGAAAACTAGTCTGACAGCTAGGTCTGACTTAAAGAAGCACCCTTGGATTCCAATAACTCGGTCATGTAAAATTCAAGCTCAGGTGACAACTGGGTATATCATTGAAGTGCTCACAACCCATATATTACAGCATTTTTCTTAGTACGCAAACACCGACTAATCTAAGTGCTCAACTTCTCCCCCCTCTTTTTTGTCTTGTTCCTTCCCAACGATTTCAATTAACAGAAACATTTGAAATTAATGTATCGGATTTCTGCCCTTGCAAGTATTCATTTAAATTTCTCCCTTTTAATTTTCTTTCCATGCTTTCTAGTAACAATGTTCTGCCTTTTTATTCTATCTGCAGAGGATCAAGTTATTTAAACTGTCTGAAAAAGAATCAAAAATGATTTCAAAGACAGCTCAGACTCCTCTCAGAGCAGTCTGCCTCGATGAATGCCTTGATGATCCAAGTACCTTACAGGACTTGATCAACCTCCAGAAGCTGCAAATGGCACAGATACCGAACACACAATGTCAGCTAAAATAAGAGAGAACAGAGAAGGACAAACAGACAAAGCAATATTCTTACCAAACCAAGATGCTCTCTTTGTTCAGTACTGATAGTTGAAGCACTTCTGTCATTAGGTTCTAGTAACAACTTCTCAGAGTAAAAAGAGTTTGAAAAACGTCTTTTTTTTCCTGTATATGTGAGATGCACATTTCTTGAATTAGCAGTACTGGCGCATAAAGGCACTTCCTTGTTCTTCCTAGAATTTAAGATTCCCACATCGCAGACGTTTACTCAAATTCACAAGCAAAAACAGTGCCTGCAGCTCCCCTACTCCTCCAATATTCCACGCTATTTCTCTGTCCAGAAACTCCTGGATCTAGCAACTCAAATAATCTACTCTTCATTTCCTAAATTTCCAGTTTTAAGCAAATGCCAGAGTGTTATTTCCTACTAATCCAATACTCATTTTCAAGGTAAGGGATTTTAAAAAAATACCTCAAAGATAAATCAAAATATTCCCTGTAACAACACTAAAGAAATCCACAAAAGTACTTAAATAAACACTAATCTCATTTTGTTTTAACAGTCTTTTGCCAATGTGAACTCCAGCAATACAAACACTCTGCAGACATAAGAAGTTACAGTTTACAGCCTGTATCTTTAGTTCTCACTCATCTTCTGTATTTGGTTCCAGCCCCAAATTCAGCGAAACAGGTTTGTGGATGTAAGTGAAACTCATTCAGTTGAGAACCTACAGCCCAGTAGGAGGGGCACTCTGCAGGAACAGACCATCAACTAATTGATCCAAGCCATATTTGCTAAGTTAATACCAGATAAGACATATAGCATGGAAAGCATTTACGCATAACTGAACACATTGTAAACACAGTCTCAAAACTGGAAATCTGAAGTACTCGAAATACCAAAGCCCAAGCACACTAGAAAATAATCCCAAATTAATGCACTTGTAATCTAGTAGCTCAGTTGTACAGAAAGGGGCATTTGTTTTATTTAGAAGAGAAAATAACTGGGCCGCCTTCCTCAAAAGGACAATTACTTGCAATGAATTGCTGAATACGGGATCCTTCTTACAGCTCAAAATATTATATAAGCCATCAAAACAGATCATGTTCTTTAAGTATCAGATCTGCTTATACGCAACTTTCCTGTGTTTTGTATATGAACTTGATATAGTTTATAAGGCATTATTAACACACAACACTTACAGTGAAGCTGGCATGATCTTGTGTCAACATCTCATTTTTTAGTTACGTTCTGTAATGCCTGTGCTTGTAAGAATGCAATCCTGAAAAAAATAACCAGGTACGCTTGCATTTTAGAACTTCATTTTTCCACTGAAAATGAGCAAATGTTTTTATCAGAGCTAAGGCTGAAGTTTAACAAATATTTTAAGATGCTGTTGCACCTATGGCAGCCCTGCCCTGCTGCTTCATTCATTCATTCATTCATTCCCATAAAACCATTTTTGTATACCAGTAGATTTGTTTGCTGATCTGTCCACTGGGCAGCTGTACAATTAGATTCTGCTGAAAAACAGCTCAGAAAAAGAAAAGATTATTTTTAAGACAGATTGCTTCTCCTATCTGCTTCACTGTGCAGCTGCACAAACACTGCAGTCCCCACAAAAAAATAAAAAAAAAATAAAAAAAGGCAACCTTGCCTTTGGTGGCAGCACCAGAGCTGGCTGATTTGCAGCCCAACAGCCCATTTCAGTGCAAACACAACCAGCTACCTCAAAATGTACTCAAATCATAAAAACAAAACAACAACCTTTAAATTGAAAGTCATTCTGGAAAAACTTCTCTAATTCTCTCCACAACACAGAATATAAGAATGTTTATAATGAAGCATTAAGACCAGCGGCAGTATGTTTGTTCTTGCTGTGACTTAAATCACTGTGTCTATCTCATCCTTACAGTACCTTAGAACACTTGCATGACATCAAAAAGGATAAAGGCATGCCTTTGGTAAGCTTTTAATTGCTAAATGATCACAATTAAAACAATCCATTGCAGCTCCAATCAAAGCAAGAATTCAACACCTCTACTATTAGCTGATAGCTCCTCTCACTTTTCCAAAAATAGTTATTAACAGACACCAACCACAAAAGCCATTGAAAAACAGGACCGAGGCATGCTTCCCTCATACGTGCTCTGCCAGCTGAAGGTGCTTAATGATCATTTCTACAATTTTAAAGCAAATAAATCTTCATAAAGACATCTCAGCAGATTGAAAAATAACATTTAACTTGCCTGATCTGTGTCAAAAAATAGCTGTACATATTTCAACAGGAAGATCAGCCCAATGATTAGCCAGCTGAATCTGAATGTGCCATTTCTGTCTCATTCCAAGTAGACTTCAACAGAAGTCATGATGCCTAGCACTCACTGATTTGAGCCAAGACTATTGCTAAAACTCTGCAGGGCTACCTATTACAGGACTGTGTGATGACAACGCTCAAGCACATAAAAACAACCATTAGCTTAAAAACTAAAAAAATCACTAAAAACAATGAACTATGGTATTTGCTTATCAAGTTATTGAAACGACTTTGCAGGTGCACAGCTTCCAGGTGACTGAACAAAAGCACTGTACTTAATGCCATTATTATTCATA